CAATAGTTAAACATAGGAAATAGGAGGTCAAACGTGGGTAAATAGACTAGAATAGTAATAGTAGAAGGCATGAGTCAATTGAAGCTAGACCACCATGGAAAACCTGGACGGCCGTTTCGTCCTATTATGGGACTCCTCAGCAGTGTTCATCCACGAACCCGCTCTCGCGAGATTCGAACCCAGGACCTACCAGTGTTTCCATGGTGGTCTAGCTTCAATTGACTCATGCTTTCTACTATGAAAAAATACTAAATCTCCACAAAACCCCTTCTGATAGAATAGTAATCACAAAACATTGAAATCAGTACACCTGTCTTCCCACTATCAACTTGTACTTTTACTTATTATGCTCAATGACGTATTCTATTTTCATAGTTGAAAGCGTGAGTCAATTGAAACTTGACCACCATGGAAAACCTGGAAGCACTGGATGGTTGTTTCGTCCTATTATGGAACTCTTCAGCAGTGCGCATCCACGATCCCGCACCCGCGAGATTCGAACCCAGGACATACCAGTCTCGCGCCAGAGCACTTAACCGACAGATCACTGAGCCGGCATGTCCATGATGTCTAACTTCAACTGATCCACGAAGTTGAGCAACCGTTCACCAATCGTCTTCAGTGAGTTGATATCTCACAACAGACGTGGTTTGAATTCCACTAGTCACTGCTTCTCACTAGAACTCCTGGATTTACCTCTCGAACTCAGTCACTAGTGATTATTGACTCAAACACCCTTGATTGCTCTAAAATTTTCGTATAAATATTCATGTATATTAGAGTAAAGCATGATGACAATCTAATTGAAAACAATCGTTCGCTTAGATGTGTTGTCCTAATTTTCATAATGGGAACCTAATGATAGGAAGTGAAGTAGTTGAGCGTGTTGACAACTTCACTTATCTTTAAAATCTCATCAGCCCCTGTGGTCTGGTGTGTGACGAAATCTCAGCACGGATACAGAAGGCTCGTCTAGCTTTCGCCAACTTGCGTCATTTATGGCATAGGCGAGATATCCGTCTAGCAACAAAAGGACGGGCTTACTACGCAGCAATTCGTTCCGTCCTACTTTGTGGCAGTGAAACATGGCCGGTAAGAGTAGAAGATATTCGTAGGCTATTAGTATTCGATTATAGGTGTCTTAGAAGCATTGCTCGTATATCCTGAGACCACCGGGTAAGTAGTGCAGTCGTCAGGAAACGGGTGATAGTTAAGGATGGCAAATCGATTGATGAAGTGGTGAAACTTCATCAGTTGAGATGGTTGGGACACGTGTTACGTATGCCCAACCACCGACTGCCCCGACGTGCAATGTTTTATTGTGAAGGAGTAGGTTAGAAAGCTAGGGGTGACCAGACCGAAACGTAGCACAAATCCTTGAGGTCACTGACAAGTGGACTAAGTTATGTTGGTAGGTATAAACTACCTGGTTGGGATTTGCGAGATGATAGTAACCGATAGTTAGAGACCTTGAATGACATTGCTCAAAATCGTTTGCAGTGGCGAAGGTGCATCCACTCTTTATGTTCTCTCAAATTCTAATCTGAATTCCTCATGTCTCTTTTTCCTCTTTCTAAATTTATTTCGCTGGATTATACTCCTTCAATAACATCTTCAAACCCTAATATTTCGGATTACTGTTTATACTCTTACTAATTCTACCACAATGGGATTTGAATCGACAACTGAATCTCTGTGGTAATGTGGTATGGCAACTCGAATTGATGTACGTACGTACGAAGTTCTACGTTGTGACTTACTGACATCATTACAAATAAAAGTATGAAAACAAATCGATCTGAATAAATTACATACGTCCTAACATATCTGGAATTTGTTGAAACTGGTACATGGAAGTTTGGACAGCTTGTAATCAACTAACAATAGCTTTCTAGAATAGATACAAACAGATCTATAAGAAATAACAATATATAATTAGTGCATTCTGTTTAGTGTCAGTATGTTGTTATTTTTATGATATATTACAGAAATAAACGAAAGTATGAATAATGTTAATGACGTAACCCTCAAATGATTTTTAATATTCTAATTGTGGTTATTTAATCGAAAGCCAAAAAATGTGTACTGCAGATGCATATTTCACTGTTCAATAATTGACTATATATTCAATATTGCCTTAAAATATTATGTCAGGTCAAGTAATAAACAGAAATCCCTATTTTGGTGAGATGACTACAGTTATAAGTGACTAGTCATTTGATTTGAAAGTCCTAATTTCTATCTGTAGTCTTGTGGGAGTGCATTAGTGAAAAGGTCTTCAACTAGAATAAAATATTCATACAGTTTCCTGGTTTTTATTTCTTCTTCGACTGACTGAGTGTCATCTTTCAACTGATCAGGAAAAGTACATCCAAAAACCATACTTTACCACGACAAAATTGAAACGAGTTTAATCAAATGAACTAAACTAAACCAAGTACATGGTAGAAATTTGGAATTTCCTTCAAAATTAACTAGTCATCTGAAGGAAATAAACTATTAAAGTTGAACATCAAATGCTTTTAATAAAGGTCATCCAGACGACATTTTGGCTCGCATCACTCCACGAAAATCAATACTTGAACAAGTAAGACGGCGGTTACGAAATCGACGATTCACCTTGAGATTAGTTCTAGTTCACGAACCTAAGACTATTTATAAGTCAACTTAAGGGGCTGGACTTTTGTAAACTATCCGAAAGCATAGCAACATAAATAATGATTTGCGAACCTAATAAACCAAACTAGTAAACAATCTAAACCCATCGAATCCTAGAACTGATCAAAGAAATTGATCAGACTCTAGACGGATAGAATTAACCACTAAAAACTTAGAAAGAAATCCTGGTACCTAATTTCTTTCGCGAATATTCAAGACTTTAAAACCATCCTTTTAAGCTAGAAATTCTCAAAACTACCAATATTTATGAGAGTAAACTAGCTTCATACTTCGCGCACTACAATGGTACTTGGTTCTGTAAATAAGACAATGTGTATTTTCTCGCCTTCTATTTAGTCTCCACCTATCCACATAAAAATCTGAATATAAACTTTTGGAGACAAACTAATTTATAATATTTTATAACTATAAAATCTAGAGTTAAGATAAACACCCCGACATAAAAATAATAATAATATTAAAAATGAATTTTTAGGTAGAAGGAAAGCAACGATTAGACAAAAACTACTAATCATACATCTAGTCACCTGTTTCAGTTCATCTCACTTATTAATACATATCAGTTAAGAAAAAAATAGACACTGTTGCTTCTACTGATAAACAGGTGGTGAATGCTAATTTATTTTGAAATACACTTAGTTAACTTAGTATTTAGCTCAATATTAATACTTAAGAAAACCTAAGTAATCAGACAGACATCTACCCGTCAAACAATTATTGTTGTTGAAAGTAATATATAGAATTAAAACAATCATAAATAGGAGACTTTGTGTAAACGATGGTAGCGTGAAACTATTGTATAGAGTTAGACAGTATTGACAATCCGTCGAGTTCAAAGGTGTTGAATTACCTTTTTAATCGTATCCAGATTATGAAGAAACACAGCAAGTCTAAACACTTTTAGGTACTAGACTTGTGTTGCATACATACAATGAAGCTAACTACATCGACTAGATTTTCTATGAAACTTTAGATACCTGACACTATGAACTGAGAACAATAAGTTTCGGTGTCGCTGGGAAAACCTATCTAGGCTACAAATATGTAACTTCAGCAAATAATTTATATTGGACATTTGCTGTTAAATAGTTAGCGAAGAAATATGTATGGTAGGGGTTTACATTATATAAATTCAGCTTCAAGGGGAAAAGCTAAGTTTTTTTAAGCTAAATAAAACCACAAATTCACTTGGTATTGTTTGCTTGTATCTCCCGGAGTGAACATTAACTATGGGATGCAGGTACATCCAGCCGACGAGTCCCAAATAGGACGAAACGCGCGTCCTGGATTCCATCTTTGCTTATAAATAAAACCACAGCTAAATAGTACATACTGGAAGAAGTCCCTTTAGAAAAATAATAATACAACTTATCTTACTTTAGCTCAACAAAAATACTTAACCAATTGATAACAAGGCACTGAGTGTCCGTGTTTAGCTACTTCTGTTCTGATTTTCAGTTGGAATTTTTAGTACTTGTGAGTAGTTTAAATTTCCAATGGAAATATTTCGTCCATAAAATTAGCTGAGACGAATGGATGAAGTGTAAGGTCATAGTTTAACATAACTATACGTGCGTTTCCGAGCTTAGTGAGATTCCTATCAAATTTTTCTGAACTTCATTGAATGCTAAATAAGGGTACTCACTTTGAAGAATCAACCTAGAATTCAACATTTGAGATTGAATCTATCATTTATACGTCATAAATCACTAATTAGGAAATTGATATTATCTATGATTGTATATTTATTGAATTATTCTGTGAATAGTTCCATTCAGATAAACTTATTATATTGAGTTAGACCAACCACTGGTGTCTCATTCCACATGAATTATACAGTTACTAAACTAACTAGTTTATTCTTAAATTATACTCAACTAAATTTACATTATGATGAAGAGACTTGAGAGGAAAATTAGTGTTATAAAGGTAGCTACCTACCAACTTATCATCCATATGTGGGATGACCAAAGCATTTGTGATTATAATAAGATTAGGACCTAGTCAGAAACTGAGTATTAAAGTTCGACAACTACAAAACATGACTAACAAACGTGTAGCGACACAGAATTTTGATTTCACTCATCAATCATACCTAAACGAGTGGGGTTTATCAACCTAAGTGGTTTGAGACAAACTAATCACAAATAAATCCAGAAATAGAATAAATTAATAAGTTACGTGGATGAAAATCGATTCCAGTACCTTGGATGTACTACCTATTGAAGAATCAGAGCTCTATTTTGGAAAGTTGAGCTGGTATTTTTAAAGTAGTTTTCTGTTGTTAATGTCTAATTTATTCAACTATCTTAACATTGTTCCCGTGAGTGGCATGGTTAGTCAAACGATGAAGAGAATAATCTTACAATGTGTCTATATAACAACAGAAGATATTTTTACAAAATATTTGGCTGAAGATAACTGATAGAATCGATGAGAACAAATAGCGAAAGTAACCACAATATAGGGAGAAGAAACAAAATATACAACTGCGTTTATGGTTTTTAGTGAGAACAAATAAAAAATGAATTTGTAGCAAGAGATTAAGAAAATAGATTAGAAAGGAGGAAAATCCACAGACAAAATGTTTAGTGAATGCCACAAAGAGAAATTCAATTTTTTATTATCAACTTTGAAAGATATGGAATGATAAACTACTGCACACAACGACCATATCATATAACTGGACACAATTGAGTTACAGACATAATAGTAGAAGATACGTTGTGCCCATTTACCTCTACAATTCATCCCATAATGATCGCGCATGCTTAACAACTTGGCTATCTTTCCATGAATGTGATTTAGCCAAGATTTCTTCCAATGTAAGTTTGCCATCATGATTAGAATCTGTGAGATTCATTAATCGTGTGGCTTCTGATTTCGCGGCTGCTTTTAAAGCTAAATGAAAAAGCAGTTCAGATAATTGAAGTTTCTTGAGAAGTAACAATAAATAATAAGAATATTTTACAATACGAAATAACGTGCGTATTATTGAAGATGAATTGGTAAGTATTTACGAATCCAATTATGTATTGTTTGCTAATAATTATTAAGATAAATCTGCAGCCCTTAAAAATTTATCTACTCCCAAAGATTTCTACGAAGTATCGATACGTCCGTAAAAGTTACAGAAGTTATGTTAGCTTAAGAAAAGCCAGGCTATCAACAGTTTATCAAGTACATATAATTACTAGATGACAAATACGATGTAATATACTATTTAGTGATTAAGCTGGTGATTTCACTGTATTCTTTGATAAATAGAATAATTCTGTTGTAGTAGAATGAGTGCTATTAGTGGTGTGGTATATCATATCAATTTACACATAGTGAAAGTTGGAGAGTTTCAAATTGACATAAACCACCTTTTGGGCCGTCACAACGTTAATCTGGCTGTAAGATTTGATGTACGAATCAGTGAGAGCGATTCTACCATACGCTTGTGAAATCTGACTTCTTCAAGCTCAAGATGTTCAATGTCTTACCTTAATCATGGTTGAAATCTCACAATCACTGTTAGGGTACAACAGAGATGATAACTGAACGAGTATTACTACCTTAAAAAACAGGTTACAGAGGATCAGACACTCTTTACACATATCATTTCACAGAATTCTACATCCCAATATTTGTCAACTCTGAGACCAGATAATGAAAGACAAAAGATGGTGAATTAAAAGCATGATGTTTTAGAATGAATATCTTCTACAAATCCCAACACCCTCTTAAGACAATCATGATTAACTTACAGGGCAATAACCATGGTCGTAATTCATCCAAAGTGAGTATGCCATTTTTATCAACATCAAGACTAGTGAATTGATCATGTAAATAATTCTCCTGTGATACACCTCGATAAGCTACATAAATAATTTTCTCAAAAATTAATTGTTATACGTTATATGTAGTTATCAGTATTGCAGAATTATTCAAAAAATAAATCATCGAAAAAGTACTAAAAATAATATAAGATTTGGTTTATTTATTCACTTATAAATGACGAGGAAAATCTTAACCCAATTAAACTTAAAATAATTCAGGTTTGTTTTCTTTGTTTTGAGACGGACATGAATGCTGTGAAGACTATGACGATACCAGAGTTTCTTAAAGGACCAGCTCCTAAGTATTTAACCTTAAGGTCTAATCCATAAGACAATGATGTAAGGTAAAAAGAAGCATTTAAATGGTAGTCCATGATCAATATAAGTCCATAGCTCACATATCTGTTTCAATTTCTAGAACCCATTTGTACTGTTGGTATAGATTCCGGCTTTTCTAACCCTTTAAGTTGGATCGCCTTAATGTATCAACCTGTTTCAAGTACTAAGTGTTGGCTTTTGCCCTTCTACTTTTGTGGCATCAGTATCTGTGTAGTAAAGATACATCACACGACTTTATTGGGAGCAGCAATTAACACACACACACCCATTCTAGAGCATTCTCTCAATGCCTGATCACACCAGTGAATATAGAAGCTTTACAAACCACACATAAATATTGAGTGATCCCCAATTAGATGTTGGCAGTCTAGTCAATCGACATCTGAATAATGTACATTCTTTTCCATGTAGATTGCCTACAACCACAATATCTCTGATTGAGCCTTTTGTAACTTGTACAACGAAAGGCTGTACACTTTTCAGAAACGCAACTGAATAGGTTATGTGGTTAATAGCCATAATGATGTATTAAAACAAACAATATTAGATAACATGTTGAAATATCTAGATGACAGGAAACAGGTAGCCCAGATGTTCAAACAGGCTGCCGAGAACATGATTATCAGGTTCTAATCTACTTAAAAAGTATGAGAATCAATAAACGAAACTTACAGAAATTTGTAAACTCATCTTTTGTAATCATACCATCACCATTTTGATCAAAACTCGAAAAACTTTTTTGCATTTCATAATTTGCCATATCCTCATAATTTTCAGGTCGTAAGAATAAAGTGAATTCTTCTAGGGATAATAAACCATCATTATCTTTATCAGCAAAGCTGAAACGTAATCGTTCATCTTTTAATAACTACAAAATGTAAAAAGAGATTTCGTAAAAGCAACTGATTTTCACGTGCAGAATGCTTAACTAATTGATCAGTCTACAGAAATAAGAGCTAGAAGATGCAAGAAAGTATGTTTAACTTAGTAGGGCCTTCCCGCTCTCGAAATGCTCTCACACGACCACGCGTGTACAGCCTCCGCCAGGGAAATCCAACTCACTGCCTTCTCGTGGCCAAAGTGTTGTTTACAAAATTGAGAAGACGAAAAGCGAATGTGTGGCGCTCTAACCGGGTTGGTGAACACGGAAAGTCCATCTAGGGGAGTTGGAAAACCCTGATTTCAAACCAATGGTGCACATGGGCTCAAGTATCCTGAGGGAAAAAATGGCGTATGAATCAATCGTTGGTCACCAGGTACCATGAGACTGAATCTCCTCACTGCCTTGTGGATCAGACCTTTTGGTCAAAGGCTCCGGGTGTGGTCCCCTAATAAAACCACCTGCTTCAGTCTGGGCACCCGGGCAGAATCACAGCCTTCACACAATTAAATGAAATAACAATTTGTGTGGAGCATATATACCTGGTACCAATATTTATGTGTTCAAATAAAATAAATATGAATAAGTACCGATAGAATACAAAGATAGATACCTTATCAATATACTTTAGTGCCCCTTAGTCTGACTCCAGGTAGATCGTATATGAATGACTGTTATTGAAGTATACACGTCGCCGATCCTCATATAAAATTAAAGACTTAAATCGCGTTATAGAATAACAGAGTTAAATAAGTCAAATACGAGAATGAATTTTTGAATACGTATGTTTCGTACGATCGTTGATCGTAAAGCGAAGCAAGACAAGATAATGCGCAACGAAGAAGGCGAGTGAGTCAACTCGATTTAACCGAGTGTGAATCTATATTTATAGTCAGATAAAAATAAGTTACAAACATGTGATGAGTAAGGTAGGAAACGCAAATACATACGCTTACATAAAAACAGTCAAGGTTGACAAGCAAATAATCAACAAAGTCAAAATATAGCTTGGGGAGAATGGATAAGTTGGTTTGTCCAGAAGCTAGAATAAGTTATGTGAGCTCGACATAAGACCAGTCACTACAATGTCATAGAAGGGATATCTTAGTATTACAACTACAGAGGGACCACACTACTATCAGTACTAATAAGTTTTTTGACAATGTTGCCAAACTAAATGGTTGACATAGAGGGTCCACCTAGGGGAGTTGGAAAACCCTGATTCCAAACCACTGGTGCACATGGGCTCCAGTATCCTGAGTGAACAAATGGCGTACGAATCAACCGTTGATCACCGGCTACCATGGGACTGCCTCTCCTCACGATGCTCCATTGCCTTGTGGATCAGACATTCAGGTCAAAGGCTCCGGGTGTGGCCTCCTAAAAAAACCACCTGCTTCAGTCTGGGCACCTGGGCAGTATCACAGCCCCCATACAAATCGAATGAGATTTGTGAGGCGCATATTTATTTGGTGCTTCATTGTACCAATATTTATGTGTTTAAATAAAAAAAAGAACCCGTCCGAATGAGCAACGTATGGGACAATCATCCCTATAGACTCATCAATGGTGACTCAGTCTGTATTTCTCTTAGTGATGGGACATTATTTTAAAATAATTGTAAACTAATTTTGTAGCTCTGAATCCAAGCTTTGATAAGACAACCGAAAACTTGATGAAATAAAAATTTATGGGAATTAGTTAAATACTAATGCTTTTAGTCACTCGATTAACACAACCACGTAAAATTAATCAAATATCATTACTGACTTCCAAAATAAATTTCGATGATTTGTCGTCCTTCGAATGTCTTAGTTCCTCTTCAGAAGTCTCATATGTTTGACTTGTATACTCTTCGAACGAAACCTTTCCGTCTTTATTCACATCAAATCTTGCAAGTTGTTTTTCAGCATGCTCACGGTCTAAAGATCTGTAATATGGAATGAATATTGTTTATTTAAAATATAAGTAAAATGTATGGGGCAAATCTTCGTCTTCCTACTAATACTAACCAACATACATATGGATATTGCGAGACTATTTAGTTTTATATTTGAATTATATTACAACTAGTGAGGTTTTCATGAATAAAAAAGGCCAGATTAGCAATTGGTCCTTTGAATAAAACAAATAACTTAAGTGTTATATTCAAAACATGTAGTATGGATTTAATTTCCCAGAATAACAAGTACCTAAAAAAATCCACCCGGCATCAAACTGAATAGTTAATACAAAAAGGCCATTAAAGAGAACCGTACTCACAAAAGCGTCACTTAAGGTTGGGTGGATTACACATCTGATCATTCGGAACCTGTCTGATATTTAGTGAATTTTTAACAACCTCTTACTGTTTAACCTAGATAGTTCCTGTATTGGGAAACTAGTGAGTTTGACATGAGCCAAGCTATAACTAAATACAAGTTCATTTACTTGGGTATGAGACACCTTTAATATGAGGACGCATGATCATTCTACCTTGCTGCTCAAACCTAAATAGGTGGATCAGTGTTTACATTTGTTTAACCATTACTGAACTATCAGAGTACGTAATAAAAAACTATCACTGATGAACATTAAACCAAAATAATTCTGTAACCTAAGTACTTGACTAATAAATAAGTCAAAAATGTAAACCCTAGGTTAGTTATTCCACTTAATATAGCTCAATATCTTTAGTTCCGAAACAATAGATGGTGATGGTAATCTAATAAGCGAATCTTGAATAAGTAAGGTATATGATTGAATCAAACTTCGGTGTAAGATTCATTCTTGCATTATAGCTGGTAACAGTGTAATGAAGATAAGAATAATTCATACATAAAGGTTCGTTATTTAAGTGAGAACTGTTTATCGATTATACTACTTTTATGCCGAATTATTTCGTAACCCAATGATGTTTTCTGGTTCACGGTCGTCTATATGTTTTATTTCCACCGCTAAATTAAACATAGTTATTTAGCTACGTTTATACATCAAAATGGGCTTCTAACAAAAATGTCATATATATAATCAAAGATAATGTGTTCCTAAAAACCAAGTGCACTAAGCTTACTCATAAGTCTTTAAGATCCATGATGCTAATTCATCATCTTCAATGAATCCATTGTTATTAGTGTCAATTTTTTTGAAATACATATGAAGCCGATCCTCTAAATGCATTTCTGGAAGGATGGATTCGGGAATACGATGAACTACAAAACAAATAAACAAAATGGTTGAGCTAAATCATCTTTATTAAAAAACTACAGAAGCAACTTGTAACATGGTCAAATCAGTAGTAACTGAAGCAACGTTTTGTGTGGGGGTCAAGATGTGATGGGCTGTGTACTATTAAACTAACAACCTAGTGTTTATTTACGAACCTCGACAAGTTCACTAATATAAACTGACAACACTGAAGACGTTCATGCTAATGCATAGGAACCAAAATACATGTCGTTTTCTATAAAAAAACGTGTATACTTTAGGATGATAAATTATTGGCTAGAGAGTTTTAGTTTTAATCCTCAAGAAATACAATTCTTATGGCTAAAAACCCGCCCACCCCATATTTTTCGATTTCCTTACTCCTTATTTTACTGTTTGTGCTGTTGATTGCTGTGATAATTCAAGCTACTGAATGTATCTAGTATGAATTAAACAAACGAATTTGATACTACCAATTGATTCATAGTGATGTGAGTAAAAAGCTGGAACTACAAGATTTAAAAACACAATGTGATATATATTTTATTTTTACTATGAATCTTGATATTCTTTTGTCAGTCAGTCGGCTACAACATAGGACCAGGCACATATATGCATCGGTCCAAGTTGCCATACCTCATTACCAAAACAAGATGAACACCAAATTCATAGAAGCAGTTAATTTAGTGGTGGTATTATATAAAAGAAAGGTTGTATATAAGGATATAGTACAGGGAGAAAGATAGATATGAAGCGATTTTAATCTCATGGTTTAAGAGAAGACAGGGAGTGTATACACCTACGCCATTGTGATCGATTCTGAGCCGTGTCACACAGAGTCTCCAACCATTGGTTACGATAATCACGCATACCCCAACCAAGTAGTCTGCATTGGTTTAAGTTATTTTCTTTTGTAACAGTGCGCAAATTCGATACAATAAATACAATTTTTTAACCATAATCAGTGTTAAGAATAGAACAAATACATGATTCGGTTATTAACTATATTTTTCAGTCAAGTCAGTTGCTTTATTAACATGAGAAATCCCATACATAAGTTAGATTACTGACTAACTACTACTTCAATTCATTCAAATTTATTGATTGACTAAACTTTTAAAATAGCATGCAATTTATTATTATCATTCTGGACGTCGTTTAATTAAGGTTGGTGAAGAAATCAGCCTGTTCCTATTGATTTGCTTCCTCTCTTGAATTGGCAATCCAGTCTTACTCCGTTTTACTATGAAGGTAGAAGTAATTCGCAGTCAAATCAAACAGACGATCAATGGCAGATGTCACTACTTAGCTGAAGCTACAACCTTGACGAATCAGTCTTGTTTCAATACACTAAAATCAGGATAGTAACAATTCGGGTTGTGATAATCCATAAAATAAGGTACACTGAGAGAAAATACCTTCTTTTGGAATAGCATGGTCACCATAATTTACGAAACAGCACATTATAGACAATCGAACCAAGTAAGTTTGCTGAGTCAGAGTTATCCTCATTCTTTACAACTTTTCAAAAACTTACCTCCAATGAAATGGGTATTTAATTTTTCGTCATCGCATTGAACAAATGAGTATAAGAACCACAGGAGAACCCAAGTCATTATAGATTGACCTCGGTTTTTCTATTGAAGACTGTATCTTCAATATATTGTAGTCCAGAGACTATAGAGATGTAGTGAATAAAGAAACCTAGGATGATCTAAAAAAGACTAAAAGGTTAAAAGTTAGATCAAAGCATCTTGGACAACAGAAAGCTATATTTTTTATAAAATGAAATGCATATAAACTGGGTCGACAACCGTTGGCCAGTCAAAGGTAGATAGATCGGATAGTGTCTAATTAACTGCAAAGGCGATCAGCAGCTGAGTATCAGAACCACTCACCAACATGTTGATAAAAAAAGTAATATTTTCTACTGGTATTCATCAGATGTTTTGGAACGAGGGAGATATCGGCTAGAAGTTTTATCGTTTTCATAAACAACGTTGTAATTCGGAAATATGAGGATAGGAAATACAGCGAAACTAATGTATTTACCGTTTCACAACATTTCTCCTCGGCTTCTGACTTTTGAGAAACAATTTAGCTTCATGTCGATCACCTGGGAACTGAAATTATTACGAGTAAAAACTGCATTTCAGAACATTAGTTTTCCCAGAAACTTGCTAGATTATCAAGTTAAGATGTATCGTCCTTAGTTTTTAGATGTTTTTCTATGATTTTCCCCTTAGTAGATTTTTTGTAATTTTCAGTCTAGCTAGTTTGGGGTAATTGCTTACTCACTTCTAAGTGGAAATAGGGGGCCAGACTAAAACGTGGCACAAATCCTTGAGGTCACTGACAAGTGGACTAAGTTATGTTGGTAGGTATAAACTACCTGGTTGGGATCCGCGGGATGATAACAACCGATAGTTAGAGACCTTGAATGGCATGGCTCAAAATCGTTTGCAATGGCGAAGGTGCATCCACTCTTTGTGTTCTCTCAAATTCTAATCTTCTGAATTCTTTATGCCCCTATCTTTTTTCTATTTCCAAATTTATTTCACTAGATTATACTCCTTCAATAACATCTTCAAACCCTAATATTTCGGATTACTGTTTATACTCTTACTAATTCTACCACAATGGGATTTGAATCGACAACTGTATCTCTGTGGTAATGTGGTATGGCAACTCGAACTGATGTACGTACGTACGAAGTTCTACGTTGTAGCTGACTGACTTTTAGTCAGTCAGTCACAACGTGGACCAGGCACATATATGCAACGGTCCAAGTTGCTACACCTCATTAGCACAAGATGAACACCAAATTCATAGAAGTAGTTACTTCGATGGTAGTAATATGTAAAAGAAAGATTGTCTATAGGGATATAATACAATAAGAAAGATATAAAGCAAATTTAATCTCACCGTTTAATGGCAGACAAAGAGTGTATACACCTGCACCATTGTAATCGATTACGAGCCATATCACCCAGAGTCTCCAACCATTGGTTACGATAGTCACGAGGACCCCAACCAGGTAGTCTGCATCTACCCACATGGCTCAGACTAGAAGTTAGTGACTTCAAGCACTGATGCCACGTCTTGGTTTGGCCGCTCTTAACTCTCTTCCAACCATCCCCTATATTAGTCAGCATTGCGCTTCTTGGTAATCGGTGTTCAGGCATACGTAACACGTGGTCAAATCATCTCAGTCGATGAAGATTCACAACCTCATCAACTGATTTACCATCATTCCCTTATGTCCTGCGTCTAACCTTACTATTACTTACCCGGTGATCCTAGAAGATGGGAACAATATTTTCAAGACATCTGTGATTAAATGCTAGTAGACTACGAATATCTTCTACACTTAATGGAAGGAGGAAGATTCCCGAAAAATCAGACGACGAGGTTATTTCCAGCGGTAGGTATGTGATGAAATTCAACAAAAATGAAGATAATAGGACTGTCACATGTGTATTGTAAGTCGATAAGTGGACCTCCTGGTTGGAGATCGATTCCTGAAAATTCAATCGACGAGAATGTTATTCCCAGTAATAGATCTTTAATGAAGTTAAACAAAAATGGGGATAGTGGACAGACTTACCGGACACCACGCGAGGTTGTAAAATTACATGACAGTTCATCATAAGCTCTGAATCGACTGGTAGTGTTCAAATAAGGAGCCTTCACAAGGTTTATGTACTTCTCAGGTACACCTTTCAATGACAGACACTGCCACAGAGCCTCTCGGTCTACAGAGTCAAATGCTACTTTTAAGTCAAGAAAAACTATCATTGTCGGACGCCGATAAGAATGGTTGTGTTCTAAAACCTGAAGAATAGTGAATATATGGTCGATACAGCCACGACCAGGTCTGAAGCCAGACTGATTTTTTCGTGTTTGCAGTCCACGAGTCTTTGTCAGGCACCCGATAATTATTGAGACTAGTATTTGAGATGCTATATTATTAAAACTAATTCCTCTATGATTATCACAGGATGGCTTTGACCCCTTCTTATATATTGGGACGACCAGTGATTGCAACCAGTCAGATGGAATTATGTCTAACTCCCACATTTTAGCTAAAATATTAGTTCATCTAATCGCTAAAATTGGACCACCATATTTAAAGACCTCTGGAGTTAATCCATCTGGACCAGATGCTCTTCCTCATTTCAGATAAGCTACAGCCTTTTGAACTCCAGCTAGAGTCGGGGGACCCACTTCAATGTTCCATTCAGGCTGTTTGGGAATGGTGGGTAGTTGTAGAGTAGCTGAAGACCAGCTGAACAGCTCCCTAAAGTGTTCTGCCCATCGTTCTAAACGTCTTTACTGAGAGCAGATAGAAGTGTCTTTTTCTGAGATCGTCTTACATACACTTGACTTCTTAATTCCGGTTTCTTTTATTAATCTGGAAAGCTGTTTGGTGTTGCCCACAGCCGCTGCCTTTTCCATTTCGTTTGCTTTACTTGCCTACCTCTCCTCACAGTCGTCCCTCAGACTTTTGGTTAACCTATATCTGATGTGTTTACGCTCTTCATCGTAATCAGAGCCTGATGGGATGAGTTTACGAGAACCTATCAGTGCAATAGACTTAGAAGAAATTCACTGAAATTTTGAAACCCTTTGGTTTAAATTACTAATAGATGTTACTGCTGTTTCCACAGCTGTTCGTATATCTTTCAAAGCAACATCTAGATCAGCCTAAATGTGAACCCAGTTGTTCCTGGAACTTACTTTTGGCTTTCTCATCCCTAATTTTAATTATAATGGGTGTTCTTAGTGGTCGATTTGACATAGGGTACGTACGTTGAAGGCTCTCCAGTGTGTAGTTTGGAGCGAGATTTCAGTACACCTGGGAGTGTTTTGCGCACTAGAATTGTTGGCTATGGTGACACTTGAGGTGAAAGCCGAAAGAGGAAGTTTAATGTTTAAAGTTGAGGTGGAAGGAAAAAAAGGAATTGAACGAGATTATTTATGAATACAGTGCTCTTGAGTGCTATTAGAGTTATCAGGGCAGTTAACCCTTCCGGTTGCCCACATCGTGAAAAGAGGCACTTGTAAAAGGAAATTGAGTAAGGGTTGGTCTTAATGACCTGAGAGTGTGACCGCAGTGCCCATGCGACAACTGCTTGAGGTCGGTCACACACCACCTTTATGTGGGTAATTTTTGCATTAGCTGCGTATTGATGAGTCCTTACCGCCGGAGAAGGATATCGGTGAGATAAGGCGAGGTGTACACTTTCAGGGTCGAACTCTTCTAACTCCACCCTCTCTAGAGGAAAGGCAGCATTCTGGTTTTCCGAAAATATCTTACCGCCGTCACACCTCTGTATAGCCAGCAGTACAACTTCGCCTTCAAAACTTGGGTTTGCTGCTTTTAGCCTTACCGCCCTTGAACCGACCTGTCTGGCATAATAGGACCTTGGGGAACGATTGTTTCAGCCAGCATAGCTCGACTGGTTCATTACGATGCAATGTACTCAATATAAATATTATTAACGAATGTTTGACAAATAAATTATAGTCTCGCCTGTAAACAAAGATTTTCTTAGCTGTCAAAAGGTTAACAAACACAGCATCCTGCTCTAGCAAGCAAAATTAGATCCATAGGTGAAGACTTTTAGAGAGGAATTGACCATTTATGGAAAAACATACGGCCATAAGAAACAGAAATCCCACTTTTCTTACTAAGGGTTTGTTAAATATAATAATTGTTATAAGATAAGTTGAAATACGGAAAGGCCACAATTTACAGAAATAAACAGTAATGATCAGTAAGTATAAGTCTGTTAACTAACGATCAAATATTTACATATACTGTCAACTTTGCACTTGTGTAACGCACTCTCTAATTGTCGCGGTATCTATACAATAAGTCCAATGACTCTTTGAAGAATTATTCTACAATGACTGCTCTCGAAATGATCAACAGGAGTTAGAGATGAATTTCAGTAAACATTAAAACGTAACTTAATGCTTAAGCACAAATAATAAACACAGAAAGTAAAGCATGCCACATATCCGATTTTCTTCGTTGTTTTCGATTTTTTAAGTCCGATTAAAAAAAACGCTTGCATTTAAGTCTAAAACGGTTGTTTCTATGCAAGTAAATGTGAGTTTATTAGAATTGAGAAGACAAGAAAGCGGTTACTTTACAGGGATGTGGTTTTCAGACGGTCCACTCTGACTTTTTTGACTTCCGTGCTTGTTGACGATGTAGTATATAAAACTATGTGTTACATAATTGAGTACGAGTTTCAGGTATTAGCTAAACGCTGCATCGAATGCCTAAAGCTTCTTTGGTATATATTTTCCTGCATTAATATTGTTAGTCCTATCGATGCGTCCGACTGCCTAATTAAAAGTTCAAAAAACAACGACGTCCCTAAGGTAGGGTTCTATTATCAAGGAATCAACATATAACGATTACAAACCTCAACTCATCTGAGTCTTTATGTCTAAATAAAGGCTTCTGAGATAATAACACACAGTAACTACAATATACGTTAGCATAAACGACATGTGGCGTGTCCAATTTTAGAAACCTTATAAACTACCGAAATGGGAACTATAGTGAGGATGCAACGGATGTTCTAATTTTACAACTAGCTACCAGTAGCACCTTCTATATTCGATAGTTCCCAGTCAGATAGAAACCAGAAGTCAGACGAGAAGAGGCAGGAAAGATATATTTGATTCGTTACCAATATATCGAGGACCTTTCCTATAAGCTGGCTAATGAAACGTAGGAGCTGTGTCCCACGCCGAGTTGAAACGTCATCTGGTACGGATGCATGACCGAAAGCCTTCAGCTAAACAAGTCCACTTAAACAACGTGGTCAGCATCCAATGTCGAACACTTAATGAACTATTGATTTTGGGGAATTATTTACAGCTACAGATCACTCCCCCCCCTAGTGAGGTAGTGATGCCCCTAAGACGTGACCAGCCAGAAGTTTAAACCCAACGAGTTTGTCGTTGGTAAACACTCTTCTGATAGCTTGCTTCGTTTAGCAGCGTCTGGTTGTCTTTCCTTAAACTATGGGTCCAAAATGTACAACATAGCAATAAAGAAATGAAATACAATGAAAATTTCGGTTCCTTGCGAAACTTCGTCGTTCTTTTCCAGCCGTCCTGGAAAAGAGGAAAAGTAAAACGTGTCAGTGCATTTCGAAAATACACTCGTACTTGCGTAGGGACACAAGATGAGCGGAAAAGGAAATAAACTAATACACTTACAAACAGCGTAAAAGCGATCGCAAAAAAATGGTTTTTTGTTTTTGTTTTTTTATATATATATAAAATATATATATACGCTCAAAAAAAATGATAATAATGTTTTTTTTGTTTTGGTTTTTTTATATAAATAAAAAATTATCATATTAAAAATTTTTTTAAAATAATAAACTATGGAAGGGTAATTCAAGATGAAGTTCATGTCCTACGTGCAATATTCATTAAGATGTTCTGGAAATCTTACTCGTCTTCCAGAACGCGTTGTTTTAGGTTTATCTGTTGTCGTTGGCGAAAAATCAAGATTTGTGTCGGCTGTCGTGTAGGGTATTACAAGTGTCGGAGCCGTGTCGCACGATTGTACTGAAGGAAATTTGGCGTAGCTAGGCTTTCCTTCTAAGTACGCTGCTTTGAGTCGATCGATACTGATGCTATCGTTCGTGCCGTTCTTATCGACTACATAGTACTTAGGTTCGCGTTGAAGAACTTTGAAAGGTCCTTCGTATGCTGATTCGAGGGGTCGTCGATGTGAGTCTCGACGAACGAAGACGTGTGTACTATGTCGTAGGTCAGGTGGAACGAAAACATCAGTTGATTGTAGTGGAGTGTAAGCAGGTTTAACTGAACGCATTGCGTTTGTAAGCCTACTTGTGTATGAGTTTAGATCCATGTTCAATGAAGAAGCTGAAGGATCTACGAATTCTCCTGGGAGTCGGAGTGTCGTTTCGTAAACGAGTTGAGATGCCGTGTATCCGATGTCAACCTTCACTGCATTGCGGATACCTAGTAAGACGAGTGGAAGAGAGTCTGTCCACTGTGAAACGTTTGTAGCCGATAGTGAAGCTTTTAGTTGTCGATGAAAACGTTCTACCAACCCATTTGCTTGTGGGTGGTAGGCGGTCGTTCGGAAACGAGTGAATCCAAATAGTGAGGTCAGACAACGGAAAAGTCCAGATTCGAATTGGCGTCCGCGGTCTGTAGTGATTGTGGAAGGGCAGCCGAAATTCGCTACCCATCGTTCGACGAAAGCGCGGGCCACTGTTTCAGCAGTAATGTCCATAATCGGTACTGCTTCTGGCCATCGAGTGAAACGGTCTACGCATGTTAGGAGATATGAGTATCCGTTTGAATCTGGTAAGGGTCCTACTAAATCTAAATGGACGTGGTCAAAACGCGCATCAGGGGTCTTGAAAGAGCCTAAGGGACATTTGTTGTGTTTAGTGACCTTAGATTTCTGACAGCTTACACTGGAGCGTGCCCACTCCCTCACGTCTTTATTCATGCCAGGCCAACAAAAGCGTTCGGCTATAAGTTCGATTGTTGCACGAGCACCTGGATGAGAAAGATTGTGCAACGTATTGAAGACGTTGCGGCGATAATGTTTTGGTACAATTGGACGATCCCTACCTGTAGATGTGTCAATTAGTAAGGTTTCCTTACCTGTTCCCATCTGCTTAATACTTAGTTTAAGAGTTGTCAAGGATAACTCATGCTGAAGATCAATGTCTTCTTTTTGAAGCTGAGCGAGTTTAAGAAGGTTGATTCCTTGGAAACTGTTCAAGGAACTTATTTGAGACAAGGCGTCTGCGACTACATTGTTAGCTCCAGAAATATGTTGTATGTCTGAAGTAAACTCCGAAATGTAGTCCAGTTGTCGAGACTCTCGCGGTGAGTACTTGTCTGAAGATGAATTTAAAGAGAAGGTAAGAGGTTTGTGATCGGTAAAAAGCGTGAATTCTCTTCCTTCGATGGAATGTTGAAAATGCCGTACAGCACAATACATAGCTAGGAGTTCCCTACCGAACGTGCTGTACCTAGATTCCGCGTCTCGAGAAAAATCCTAAGGGTTGCCACGAGTTGTTAACCCATTGGTGTAAGACTCCTCCGATTGCTGAGTCGGATGCGTCTACGGCGATACTGATGGGCGCTTGAGTGTCCTGATGAGCAAGTAAGGTTGCTTTAGCGATGTGTTCCTTAACTGTGGAGAATGCTTTACGGGCTATGTCGTCTAAACTAATTGATTTCGCATTTCCACGAAGCTGGTCGGTTAACGGTTTCATAAGGGATGCGCATTTGGGTATGAACCGTCTATAGAAACTTACAAGGCCGTTAAAAGTTCGTAAGTGCTTGATCGTCGTCGGTTCTGGGTAATCCAGAGTGGCCGCCACTTTGCTCCTAAGGGGTCGGATGCCTTGGGCATCAATGGTGTGTCCTAGGAAGTCTAAGGAGTTTGTTCCGATTTGGCATTTCTGTATGTTGACAGCTTTTGGAGTCGATCGAAAACAATGTCCAGATGCTTGAGATGCGATTCCCTGTCCGGACTTGCTATTAGACATTCATCAACATACGCATGTACGAAGTTGAGACCTCTTAAGACGTCGTCTATGAACCTTTGGAAGAATTGAGCCGCATTTCTAAAACCAAAAGGCATTCGTAGAAATTCGTAAAGACCGAAGGGAGTGATGATGGCGGTTTTAGGAATGTCGTCAGGTGCCATCGGGATTTGGTTATAAGCTTTAACCAAGTCGATTTTCGAAAACACAGTTGTACCTTTCAAGGTAGCTGTCAAATCGTGAATATGAGGCAGCGGGTAACGATCGGGAATGGTTTTAGCTTTCAGACGCCGATAATCACCAGTTGGCCGCCAATCATTGCTATCCTTTTTAGGGACCATGTGCAATGAGGATGCCCATGGACTATTCGATGGTCGAATTATCCCTAGGTCCATCATGTGGTCGAATTCGTTTTTAGTTAACCTAAGCTTCTCGGGAGCGAGTCTTCGAGCTTTCGAAAATACAGGTGGTCCTGTAGTCGTGATGTGATGTGTAAAATTGCTGGTTACACAAGGCAATCTCGATTGCGGTTGGTATATCCCGGGGTATTTGTCGAGTACTGATTGGTACAATGAGTCTATGATGTGCTTAATGGTGACTGGGGATAACCTGCAACCGGAACAAGGAGTTACGCAAACGGATAACTTAGTGTTTCCGTCTATTAACCTTCGTGAGCGTGTGTCAATGAGTAGATTGTGGTGTTGTAACAGGCCTATACCAATGATTGGCATGGAGGCATCTGCGACAACGAAAATCCAGTGTATGGGTTTGCGTAAACCCACGTTAAGGTAGACGTACCTTTTACCGTAAGTAACGATCGGCTTTCCGTTTGCCGTCTGTAAACTTAAAACAGACTCGAGAAGTCTGTCGTCGGGATTTGCTGGATGAACGCTAACTTCTGCGCCGGTGTCGACGAGGTAGTGAACTTTCGTAGTCACATCCGTGAATATAAGAGGCGGCTGTGTTCGCCGGCTACGGTTGCCGTTAACGCGTGCCGGCTGGGAAGTTTACCGAACTGTTTTTCGTGTCACTCGATTTTGGGGTAGGATAATTGCAGGGCTTCCTGTAATTTCTAGAGGATTTACCGTACTGGTTGTGATACCAGCACCAGTCGGGATTGTCTGTCTCTCGTGGACGAGAGCCAGATCGCTTACGTGAAACGCTCCTACATGAGGATTTTGACCGACTACGGTCATTGCGAACCCTAAGATATCGTGTAAGCGTGTGACATAGTTCCTTTATGTCAGACGGGGTCGATTGAGGTTTTTCTTTGACGGAAATAACCTCGGCTTTAGAAGATCTAGTGATTTTCAAGATTCGATCGGCAGATGCAGCTAGTTCATCTATGGCATTGTTTTGAAATGAAACAAGCACTGCCTGCACCTGTTGAGGGAGTTTAGACAAGAAATGTTGTTTAGATAGGCCATCATTGAAAGTTCGTTGGCCGATGACTTCTCTCATTCTAAGCAACATGTCCGTCGCAGAACCATGTTGCAAGTCGATATTGTCAAGGAGTTGGTCTAACCGTCGTCGATCATTTGGGTCTCCGCGTCTTAAAATCGATAGCTTAAGCGTTTCATAAGGTTCGGGAACATCACTAGTAAACATACTAGGTGTTACGTACCTGTTAAACTCGCGCGGTAACGCCTTAACTACCGCGAGGAAACGTGTGCGCGAGTCCGTGATTCCGTGCATGCAAAAATCGGCTTCTGCGTAGCAGAACCAGGACTCGATATTGTCGGGCCAAAATGGCGTTAACTGAATCGAAATAGGGGGAATAGATTTAAATTTAAGAACCTCAGGAGAGTGTTCCATCATAGTTATATAGATAACGAAAAATGTCTAATTAAAATATATCCGATAAAAAAAGTTCGCGAAAAAAAAGTATATCACAATATATAAAATTCAAATAAGGAATAACAATGAATAATAATATTCCAAAATGGAACAGACTCACAGTATATTGACTTGGTGTACCAGATCACGTCGGATTCACCAATGAGGATGCAACGAATGTTCTAATTTTACAACTAGCTACCAGTAGCACCTTCTATATTCGATAGTTCCCAGTCAGATAGAAACCAGAAGTCAGACGAGAAGAGGCAGGAAAGATATATTTGATTCGTTACCAATATATCGAGGACCTTTCCTATAAGCTGGCTAATGAAACGTAGGAGCTGTGTCCCACGCCGAGTTGAAACGTCATCTGGTACGGATGCATGACCGAAAGCCTTCAGCTAAACAAGTCCACTTAAACAACGTGGTCAGCATCCAATGTCGAACACTTAATGAACTATTGATTTTGGGGAATTATTTACAGCTACAATAGGAACACAAGTGTGGAAACGGTTGCGTTTGGACAAAGATCTAGGGAATTCACAAAACTGTGAATAACTCTTACAGAGATAGGCAAGAGGTAGTTTTAATAATAAATAATCAGATTTATAATTGTGAATAAACACTTTAAAGTATTACACAGCAAATAAAGTTTTGTTACTCTATAAGCTTCAAAGTTATAAGAAATAGAACTACTGACTGAATATTAAGAATCGGTATGAACCGGTACACAAAAACAAATTGAGTAGGGGGAGATTGAGGACAGCAATGCAAACGGACTTTACACATATATTTACAAACTTTTTTCAACGACTATTTCCACACTAACAGTTTCAAGTTGTGTACTGTTCTCATCATCGCATAAAATGTGCCACTTTACACGAAAGATTTCGCTTTTTCCTCATGAGTTCATTGGAAGCAGACAGCCAAGTCACCACATTAGAAAGTGCTAGGATAGACAGTCTTTAGAAATGTAGCTGACGTGCCAGTTAACATTCATTACGAGACCACATCGTGTCCAGTTAATTATAATAGATCAGAACTATCAATCTAGTAAAACAATTCATATTCCTTCTTTTTACAAGCCAGAATATCTGCTTTGTAGACATTTAAATTGACTGAAGTATATATTCGTACATTGAAAGCTACCCAGAATATGGGAATAAGAAATAATCTCCTTAAATAGGAACATCCTCCTCACAACAACACTTTCCATTAGGTATGTTGGTGTTTTTTATCCCTCGACAAAACATAATGTCCCCATGAAACCGAGCAATTCAGGTCGTCCATGCTTGAAGACTGTTAAACGAAAGTCAATTTGTCTCTCAGGAATCTGTATCAGGTTTCGTTTATTTTGTCACATGTCTTTGTTCCGTTTTTCGTAGAATCTGTGAATAAAAATGAAAGCATTTTTCCTATCTGAATATAAATACAGATCACCAACCTTGTGAATTCCCCAACATTTAAATCCGGGTTTTGTGATCTCTTAAATATTACCAAAAATATTGTGCTACTTATTACCATTCTGTTAACTGAAGACTGAAATGTGTTGTTTATAGGCCTCAAGTACCTGAAAAAGCGAGTAGATTAAAAACTTTATTTTGATCAGAGGCTACCATAGGTGAACAACTAACAACCTTTTTAAACTGTCTTGTGGTGTCAAACTCTTGGTCACTTCTACGCCTAGAAAGTGCTTTCCTAACATAACCATTCGTATAGCATCACAACCAACACAGAAATATGACATTAGCAGAAACCAATTACTTTGTTTGCTCAGCTTAATCTGCATCTGTCACGTTTGTTACTAATGACTATGAACACTTTTAATTTACAACACTGTCTATACAACCGTTGCCACTCAGTTTCGAGCTCAAAACGAATGAACAATCTCATAGGATCCAATGTTTAATGGTAACAGTAACCAACAACAATCACTTAAACAAAATTGGGAACGTCTTCAGATTTTTAGGTCGAGCAAAATTACAAATATTATTGTCAGTAATAAACATTAAACGCATCTTTTGCCATCCTGTTTCAAACTATATTCCTACTAACTGCAACACAATAATGGGCACTAGTTAAAGAAACGTCATCGCGAACAGATAAATACGAACTTCGTAGACAGCTAAACCAACGACAGATTCAGTATGCTGTTCTGAAACGCACATGGTTCACTTTTCTTTGACTTTTCTTATCAACTTTTGCGTAATATCGTTCTTCAACTTCCTCAGTAGTTCGTATCTGTCAAACGTTTCACCCCGTTCTGGGAGTCACAAGTCGCTGAAAGATAGATTTATTAAATGCCTCCATCGAAACAAGATATGATATATTGTTTCTGAAGCCACATATATCATATGAACTATCTCTTTTAGCTTTTGCAGGTTGATACTGATTAAAAAACAGACAATTCTGACTGTGTATTTCGGAAACCCTTACATTGAGGTATACCATATTCCGGGGTCTGCAATCAAGATTTTGATGAAGTTCTAAGAACTCCAGGACGTTTTAACATTTACATCTAGTTTTTATTATGCTTGTGTTGTATTATACATTGGAGCAAAATGAAGGACTAGCTAGTTTGATATCAATTAATAGACGCTTTTTTACCTTTAGAATAAATGACTTCAAGATGATGAGAAGGGAGTGGTATGAAAAGTGACCTGTTTTTGTAATCTACAACAGATTGTATTCTTCAGGGAATCAAGAGTGACTTCAAACAACATGTCACGAATCTCAAAGATTTACATTGAACAGTTATTGTGATCATATCTGGTTTAATTGACCAAATCGGGTGTCGAAGTATAAACGAGATGCCCCTGTACACATCCATAAACCAGTGTGAAGACACAATCACCTCTCTCCACTAATCGTTTGGCGATAAATAAATCCCCAAAAACAACTCTGTAAGTCCTCGATATTTGATGTTGACCATATTAGTTTTAATGGATTCTCCTAACTGAAAGCGCTCGGTCACGCATTCGCATCATATCATGATTGGGTACGCCGTGCTACACATCTTCAACTTCTAGCTAGCTTAGATGAATCATTTATCGATATTCTATCAAATATATCTTCGAATATCTTCACTTCTGAATTTGATTCGACTGAGTTGGCACGTTTCGACTACAATAGGTGATATTAGTTACGGTATTGTCGAACTCCAATTACCTGCGGTATATTCAATCGGGCCAAGCACTAGAGTTAGGTACGTATGATGATAAGAAGTAATCGAATCGGTGTGCTAAGAATAGTCCCACTTATGATAGGCAGAACTATATCCATATTTGATATGTTAATTACTGCGACTGAAAGATCACACAGCTGCACATGAATTCGACCACCAATGTTACATTTGACGACTGTTTCCTGTAATCCGAGGACAGACCCTTCAAACATTTTTGTCCTGATGAATCATTTTATGAAATTTCGCTCTTTCAAGGTATTTAAAATACACCTAACATGATTTAATGGTAGTTCTTTGAGAGTTGGGTAGGGAAGTCAAATAGGCTTATCTGGAAGTGCTTAAGATTTAGTAAGATGTAGGCATCCTTACCGATGAATGTAAGGAAATGAGCCACACTTTTATCATCCCTGACATCTTTCCTGATCACACTCCAAATTTCAAACCTATGCAATTTTCGAAAGCATCAGAATTTGAGTGTATATCCAATCAAAGGCTCCGTCGCGACGTCTACGTGATAATTAGTAGTCCTCAGGGTAGTTGAATTTCAGACAGATAGGACTAAATGAGCGCAACTGGACTTCTTATATCCAAGATTCATAATAAGCGCACAATAAAATACAAGGAAATCATCAATTAGTACAAATACAACGGGACGGTAGCCGAAAATCAGCACTTCTCTTCCAGCCTTCCTCTAACAGTTGTACTTTTAGCTGAACTATCTCTCACTAGGTACTATTCTTCTTCATCTATCGATTGGATGTGTACTCCTAACCCCATTTCCCACAATGTTTTTATGTCCTTTGTGTGAAGGCTGCTTTTGGTGCTCTATGATATCAGGACCTATGCGCTTCAAATAATCAATGAAACCTATTGGTCGTGAACCTTCGAACTAATAATAGGGTTGTAGGCAGTTATTTTAAATTTTGCAAACTAGTAAGTGCTAATTGACCGTATATAGATCGTCTGCTACACTTAAGACTGACCATTGTCTGAAATATGGAATAGCAAGATCTCTACGATATCTTATTCGACAAATATATTTTGCGACGTATAAGCCGTAAAAGGAGAATCAGCGAACAACCTTTGCGGTTGAAAATATGTAGACATTAACAACTGTTATAAGCCTTTTAATAGTCATTTTTATTGATTATATGCAAATGTATACATTCCGTAGTTTAAACAAACGAAAGAAAAATGTCGAAGTATCTCATGCTGAAATTCCCCACTGTACCGGAAATATAACACTGGATAGGTCACTGTCACTAAACAAGATATGTAAGGTTCTCATTAGAATCATGATAATCAGTCTAACTTCAACTAACAATATCCAGAACATTTATATGAGAGCTAACAGTTTTCGGTTGAAAACTAGATGAAGTATTTAATTACAGCTGAATTATTTATTTCAAAAATTTGATTTGATTAACATAATTCACGTAGCATAAAAATGAATTATTTATGAGGTCTTTAATGATAAAAACCAACGTACAATAATTCATGATGGAGAACATTCGCAATGTATCTAAATAAACCAAAGTAATAAGAATTAAAATCTGTGAAAAAAATTTACACTACGTGTGATAAAGTGAGAACACGTAATTTAGAGAGTAATCATTAATAAATGTACAAAGTAACTATCGCTGAAACTAGTTTTTCATCATATACGTTCAGCCAAAAAAATACTTGCTCGACAACCCACTTTTATTATTTGAGACATGATATCGTAGAAAGGAGCCTGGAGTAAAACAAAAGATTGTTAGACAACATGACAAGAATACAGTTTAAATTCTAAAAAATAATTAAATTAAAGAGATACCTGTGCTAAGTATTTTTATGAGCTGTCGTTTAAAAAAAATAATTCAGTGTCTGAAGACAGTATAAACAAGACTAAACTCAGCAATTAAGAAACATGTCTGTCAAACATTTTGTTGGATGATTATCAGACTAGTTCTAATATAACACTAGAACGTTTCTATGAAGACAATCCACGTTAACTAAAAATAATTTGATCATTAGTCATATCATTTAACCCATTTTATCCATTCTGTAGATCTGTATTTGTTATGTAATGACATCCAAATGGTCTTACTGTAGTAATACTGTGACATAGTCCTTATGTCCTACAATCATATACGTAAGAGTTTTAGACGGATATTTCTCACTCTAGATTGAATTTATCTACAACTTTACGTGGATATGCAAACTGTAAATTTTGTAACTTGCTTCGATAAGTCTAAACCATATAATTAGGGATTCATTGTTTCTGTAACCACCCAATAATGTACTAACATAATTAGGTTGGATATAAATCAATACATAATGTCAATAGACGATTATGTTTGCTGTGTAATATGAAGAAAAATAGTTACTTCATTGAAAGGTACAAAATAAGATATTTAACCTAATAAAAAGCGGATAATCTTCCTTAGATTTAATACCATTAATTTAATAACTAGTCGCAAGTAACTGTAAAATTATTGACTGCATGACAGCTGAATGAGAATTGAAGGACAACAAAATATTTACACTGAGCATGAATTGATAAGCATTAGTTTTCAACAAATTTACATAATTCCATTCGATTTCTTATTCTTGCTTTACTTCAAGCTTATAAATAAAAATATGATAGTGAAAGTAATGTGAATCCAGTGATAGAAGGGAGCATCTTACTCCATATTTTTGATTTATTCGAAACATATTTGTAAGCATTTACAGAAAATAAAAGATAAGCGTTAGCTGAGTCATCCAATGAGTTCTATTTGTTTAATCATGTTAAATATATTTCCAATTACACAGTATAACTGATGCCATAATCAAATTATACTGTTTAATAAAAACAATAAATATCAACTGAGTTATACCCATGGTTGTTGATAATACCAAAAAATATTTTTGGCTAAATGAAAACGATAATTTTCAATAGAAAAAATAAGGAACTAAATATTGCTGTATGGAAATTCGTATGGGTCTAATATAGACCGTCTTTTCAGAATACTATCTAAGCCCATCGTTATTTTACTGTTGAATTAACAGATAAATGACACATCCGACACAGAAACTATTGATACCGGCCTGTGGTGTATAGATATGAGTGAAAGAGAATGATTCATAGTAATATAGAATTTTCTATGAAAGGAGATTAAACTAAATTTTACCATGATGAATCTTAATTTGAAGATTTCGAAATTAAAACTACGTAGTCAAAGCTTTAGGTTCATAAGTCATCAAAAACCACATGTATAGTAAGATGTTAATACTACAGAACAAGTAAACGGCAGACATAATTAAGACATTAAACAGCTCCACCACCTGTTTAGCAATCAAGTTAGAAATATATACTCTATGCACTATACATAATGTATACTAAAGTAGACCATATTTAATTTTATCTACAAATTATACATTCATAATAACTTACCTGTTCAGCATCATGTTCAAGGCCTGTATCGTGATGCTCCATTTCTTCATCTCGAAACTTGGCTAATGTCTAGAAAAATACAAAAGAAATTTTAAAAAATATTATGATAATTTATCAATGAGTATTTAAAATAACATATAGTGGGAAAATAAAACGATGCTTACCCATAGCCTAGAAGCTGTAAACTACAGTCTTGAAAGAAAATAGTTATTTTGCTCGACATTACTACCATGTATAAAAATAATTTCAAAATTGAAGCTACCTTACATTGAATGAATTTTTTTAAAACGCGAAAATTTCCGCGTCTTGCATATGTATTACAGTCCTATAGTAGGGAAAAATTAATATATCCTTAGTTATTGAACCTTACAGTCAAAGTATAAGCTCATAGTCTCGAACTCTGAAGGATAAAGATTTGAACTCTTCAATATCAATTTTCTTAAAACTATCATTATTTTTATGACACTAGTATAAGGCTGATAACTCCACTTGGAGTCCCTCTGGGGTTACTGCCGGCACCAAGCCCAGACAAAAGAGTAAGGTTGGGGACGGGATTAATGATTCAATTCCGCAGAAACTTAACTGGCTAAAAAAACGCTAACCAGAAAAATTCAAATTATTCAAACTCTACGCTGGGGGTTAAGTCTTCATTTAGAAGAGTTATGACGCCTCATGGTGAAAGTGGAGTTCCTTTGAAAGTCGCGAGGTTAATGCCGCTTATGACAACCAGAGCAACTATTTGTCTACGTATATGGAATGTTCGTACAATGTGTGGGACCGGGAAAGCCCTGCAAATTGCTGTAGAAATGAAAAGATACAACTGAGAGGTGCTTGGAATCAAAGAAACACATTGGACGCAGGTTGGAGAACAAAGACTAATTTCAGGGGAGATGCTGTTATGCTCCGGCCACGAAGAAGAAAATGCCCCACATACACAAGGAGTGGCATTAATGCTATCCAAACAAGCACAAAAAGCACTCATAGGATGGGAATCTCATGGACCCAGGATCATCAAAGCCTCCTTCAAAACAAAGAAAGAGGGCATTACAATGAACGTCATCCAATGCTGTGCGCCTACCAACGATTACAATGAAGACGTTAAAGATCAACTCTACAATAGGCTGTAGTCAATCGTCGAAAATGCCCAACAAAAGATCTGACCATTCTGATGGGAAATCTAAATGCCAAAGTCGGGATGGACAACACCAGATATGAAGACATCATGGGACGACATAGACTATGAGAAAGGAACGAAAATGTGAGAGATTCGTAAACTTATGCGCCTTCAACAAACTGGTCATAGGTGGTACCATATTCCCACACAAACGCATTCACAAAGCCAGATGGACTTCACTGGATCACACTACACAAAATCAAATCGACTATATCTACATCAATAAAAAGTTCAGAAGAACGATGGAATACGTGAGAACCAAGAGAGGAGATGATACAACCTCAGATCATCATTTGCTGGTTGCCAAGATGAAACTGAAACTCAGAAAGCACTGGACAACGGTGCGAACAACATCACAAAAGTTTAATAAGGCCTTTCTTCGGGATACTGACAGACTCAAAGAATCCAAGATAGCCTTCAGCAATAAGTCCCAGGCCTTTCACGATCTCAATGTAGAGGGATGAAAGAGGCAATCACTTCAACATGTCAGGAGGTTCTGGGCCACAAGAAGCACCATCACAAGGAATGGATCACTGTTGATACAATGAATGAGATTGAAGAAAGGATGAACAAGAAGGCAGCAATCAATATCAGCCGAACAAGAACAGAGAAAGCCAGAGCATAAGCCGAATACACAGAAGTAAACAAACAAGTAAAGAGGGGCATCAGAACTGACAAAGGTAAATATGTGGAAGATTTAGGAATGACGGCGGAAAAGGCTGCAAGAGAAGGAAACATGAAACAACTGTATGACGCAACAAAGTAACTCGCTATAAATTACCGTAAACCAGTGAAAAGCAAGGAAGGTAAGGTAATCAACAACATTGAAGGACAACGAAACAGGTGGATAGAACACTTCGAGGAACTCTTGAATCGACCAGCTCCACTGAACCCACCCAACATCGAAGTACCACCCACGGACCTCCCAATCGATGTTGACCAGCCAACAATTGAAGAGATCAGCATGGCCGTCAGACAAATCAAGAGTGGCAAAGCAGCAGGACCAGATAACATTCGAGCAGAAGCACTGAAAGCAGGAGTGACAGTAACTTTAAAGGTACTTCATATTCTCTTCAACAAGATTTGAGATGAAGAACAAGTACCAATAGACTGGAAAGAAAGAAACCTGATCAAGATACCAAAGAAAGGCTACCTCAGCAAGTGTGATAACTACAGGGGTATCACTCTTCTCTCAATACCAGGAAAAGTGTTCAACAGGGAATGGTTAAACAGAATGAAGGACTCCGTAGACGCCCAAATTCGAGACCAACAGGCTGGATTCCGTAAGGATCGATCGTGTACAGACCAAATCGCAACTCTACGGATCATTGTAGAACAATCAACTTCATTGACTACGAGAAAGCATTTGATAGCGTAGACAGGACAACAGTATGGGGGCTTCTTCGACACTACGGCATGTCTGAGAAGATAGTCAATATCATATGGAATTCCTATGATAGATTAAACTGCCAAATCGTGCATAGAGGACAACTCATTGACTCGTTTGAGGTAAAGACCGGTGTCAGGCAAGGTTGCTTACTCTCACCCTTTCTCTTTCTCCTGGTGATCGACGGGATCATGAAGACGTCAACATCTGGAGGGAAGCACGGGATACAGTGGACGGCTAGGATGCGGCTGGACGATCTAGGCTTCGCAGATGATTTGGCTCTTCTATCACACACGCAACAACAAATGCAGGAGAAGACGGTCAGTGTAGCAGCAGCAGTAGGTCTCAATATACACAAAGGGAAAAGCAAGACTCTCCGATACAACACAACACGTTTCGAAACATAGATAAACGACTGATTTTAATAGTATTCCTCGGACTGAAGTGACTTCTAACCGCCTTAGTCTAGAGCTTTGATGGCGGTTTATTATTGAAGTGTGCCACAATATTATATAAACTGTCTGAGAGCTAATAATAGATAGATTTTTGTGATATCCAAAAGGGCAGAAAATTGCATTTTTGATGTTTTATGACTTAATGTAAGCCACTCCTTCAGAGTAAATAAATAACCGAAATGAAATTAACACAAGTTTAAACGGTGGAAAGGAAACAATACATTAAGTCACGAAACGTCAGAAACACAATTTTCCACTCTTTGTGATGTCACGGAAAAGCTAATTATTATTAACTCTCTACCAAATGCTTAACTTGCTTGAAACTATCAAGTTCAAACTTGGTATCGATGTCTGAGGGCTCTTTGGTTGAACAGCATCAATTGAGTTAGGGCATAAAACAAACAGTCATCCGGATTGGCAAAATAAAGTGGTGTTTGTCAAGAGTGTTAACATTTGCCCGTTTTATTTTTGTCTCAAATATTTTTCTAGAGGCAACATTTTCTTTGCTTGACTTTTAATGGAGTAATCATCCACCAGGATATTCACTTATCGACTTACAATGCGCAAACGACATAGCTCTTTTTGGTAAGGATAGTAGCAAAATAAAGTCTCCTGAACACGTTTTGCTGATGCGGTGTAGCAACTTAGACTGACGTACAAATGCTCCAGGATTTACACTGCTTATGGCTAACTAATATGAGACATCCACCTGTAAACCAGAAAGTTGGGTTTACTGTGTACCACTCCGTTATGTGTTATCCTATAACTGTAAAATACTGACTATAAAATTATAAAACACAAACAGATGGTAATTACTTGATAACAAGTGTCTTTGCAGCGCCGATAGCGTTTAGTGAGACAATTGAGTAAGAAATGCTTAGCTCGAAGGTGAGGTACTAGTGAGAGATACCTAATCGGTTGATAAGGATGTGAATATTTATCGATTGAGTTGGCTTTGATACATGATACATAGATTCCAACACAAAAAAAATATGACTTGACGAGGAAGAAAGAATTCATAGAACAAAAGGTAAAATTTTGAAACTCAAGGCAAATAAACAAATATGTAATGTATCTCATCTTAATTGACTGATTAAGAGCTATGTCACCTAACATCTCCAACCACTGGTAGTGGAGACTACAATTAAATAGTCAAACTACCAGAGCAGCTCAGACCCATAGTTAATGACCCAGAGGATAAGCAAAGTTCTAGTGATTAAATTACGGTGTCAGAGGAACAATATGTAAGTAGATTACATATTTTGTAGTGAGTAGTATTATGTAAGATACATAACTAAATTTCGAGGAAAAATTTGCGGAGCAGCATGTACGTTTTGTAGTCTGTAGTTGGTATATGTTGTAAATGGTCCTTTAATCAGAGACACTTAATAACTAACATCCATGCAGTAAATCAATCAATTAAATGTGTTGCACCAAAATATATAAATATTAAGGTGGGGTTTTGTTCTCTGGGCTGGATGGTTTGGTCGTGAAGCTTTCGTCGCTATTCCGAAAGACATCATCAGAAAAAACTTTTGGTAGAGGTGAAGTGTTCGAATTTCTCCACATATGACTCACAGCTTGTCCTGTACACCTCGATCTTGATTGGTCATTGTTGACCCTTAACCTGTCATTTTTTTTACTTATTTATTTCGATTTTACCGCCCATTGATTTTATTTGTGGTACTATACTTGTCCATAATTTTTCTGATTGCTTGAAAAACTCTCTGGTGTTTTTAGAATTGCCTTTATCCAAAATCTCAACATTTTTCCAGTCGAATGTGTATCCATAGTTGTCCACACGCATTGATACGAGCGAAAATATGTCATGGCGCTTGGCCGCTAATTGATGTTCATGCAGGCGAAGATGAAGAGAGAATCCGTTTTGTCCAACGTAGTGTTTTTAGCAGCCAGTTCAGTTCTCCATCTTTTGTCCTTTGGTTTGTATAGGATTGATTGAAGTGATTTTGTTGGTTTATGTGCTACATCTATTCTAAAAAGCTTCAACAATCTCGCTGTAATTTCTGATACGCCCTTTACGATCCGTTTGTTGTTTTCTATGATTGATGTTGTTTCTGCTGATGCATTTCGTTGGTACTTTTTGATAAAGTTCATTGGTTAGCCGTTCTTTTGGAAGACTGTCTTTAGATATTTTTCTAATTTTTCTTCGCTGCAAGTGTGTACTCGCCCTCTTGAACAAAGCTTGTACGCAGTTGATTTTGTGGGCTCTTCAGTTGTTGCTTCAGTAATTGGAAATTTGGTCTGTGTGAGTCGGCTTCCGATATACTTGACTCTCCAGTTTTCCTGTGCCAGTTTTGGTGATTAACACATTCTGTTCCAGGAACAGGAGTCAAAAAACAAACTACCTTTCTTGGATATACTCACACACTCTACAAATAAAAAAATCAAGCCAAAGCTAAGTTGATTTCAGGCTCATCATAAACACAAGTAAACTTACATGCAACAGACTTCTGTATATGTTTTTGAAAACCAATAATAACTGTTGTTTTACTTCTTTCGTTTATACGTCCTTATAATGTTGTATTATTTTAAGCGATGCGACTTGTTGCAAAAGTGAAAATTAGTTTTCAAATACACATATAAACATCATCATAACATACTGCCTTCAGCAGTCTTCAGTGCTATTGTTTCATCTAGTCACGAAGATGAGCCTCTATAAATGAGGTAACCGCCCTAAACATCATTGCAAAATTAATTACGGATTTAGAGCCTGGGTAACAATTTTTGCAATATCTCTAAAAACCATGGACAAGAGAATCCATTTAACCGTTTTATTAAAAATAGAATACCGATATTTCAAACGCAAATGTTTAGATAATTGAATTGTCTTTTCAGATGCGTTATTTCCGATAATTAACAAATATTAAGGCTAAAGTGGGATGCTTTTCACTAAGTATGAACCAGGAGGAAATAATTAGTCGCAAAAGTCTTTTAAATGTTCAAAATTAGGACGATATATTTAAACTTATCTTACTTCGCTTTGACGATGCTTGAAAAACCTTCATATCTAAGTCAACAATAAATGAACTCCATTTCGAAGGTGAATAGATTGGACAATAAGATGTACAGAACTATTTTACAGACAATAATTTAACAAGCATTAGATCAATTGTTATAATATCTAGTTAAGTGTAAAATCTTAAGTAGAGATAGTAAGCCGGCTGACCGAGCTATCCTATTCTAACTTAGGTGGTTGGAACGTTGTTAGAACCCTGCCACAACGCACAATGCGGAATGCTACAAGTAACTAAACAAAGATACGACTCTGAATAATAGATGCAACGAATGATGGACTGAATCATGTCAGTGAATGTAAAACTCCAAGTCTGGATCTGTATTGATCGTAATCTATGGTTGGATGAAATATTTTAGAATGGTGCACTTGAATTTATTACCTATCTTCTTCAGGGTCTTTATTACTATGCTTTTCCATAATTTCAGTACTTTCATCGGTCCCTTCTAAATCATTTTTCTACCATGTAGCTTTACATTGAATTTGACGCTATTTCTCACCTATGTTTATTCCCTTATTAATCCCCTCTTGATATGTTAGTGTGGAATGCAGCAACTCAGACCACGTTCTTGATAACTGATCAACAAGAAAAGTAGGATCGAAATACAGTTTTACATCAACAAATACATAAAACCAAACAGCAAATTATCTAAATAACAACTAACCTGCAGCAACTCTTGATAGGTTTCAGGGTCACTCTCGACAAGCTCACGAATTTGATTGTTGTAGTGCTCAGATATCACTGATTCGACAGCAACGGTGCAAGCCATAGCAGATTTAGAACCCAAAAGCGCACTTCCCACACCTAGTGCAAACCCAGCAATGCTCCACAAAGGTAAAAGTAATGTAGGCCTGACTCTATGTATAGGAATAAGTTCCTGGAATTTTTTCAAATGTTCCTCTTCTTGATCATGCATTTTCTACGAATACAGTAAAAATTATTGTTGTTACAGGTTTGCAAACATTCCATGTATAATGAAAAACCAAACTAGTATATCTAATAGCATCGCTTTTGCATTTGCATTTAATCACCACTGTCAGACATTACCAAAATAACTACGGGACAACTTGTAAAGACAAAAGCAATCCAAAACAACTTTGATACACGGAGATTAGAAAACATCGGTTGAATAACTCCTTTTAAATAGATGTAAATAATTAGAACCTTTGAAATTTCGTGTGACAAAAGCAATACAAATGAATATACCCAAAAGGAACCTATTGAACCTAAACTAGAAAAATATATGCTTCTATCGTTCAGTAATCATAACATAACATTATATTAACCATCGAACTAAAGATATCTTGAAATCCGAACGAATATATGGGTAACCGACTTAACGTTCTCAAACACGCCTGAAATTTGAAACTAAGTAATCTTTGAAGTGCACTGAAATGATTAAGTCAGCCGAAAAACACAAAGATTGTGATGACGATTACGAAGACAGTCTGGAATGTGTAATGGAGTATTTCTGAATACTTTAGGCATTTTTTCAGGATATATATATATATTACCATAATAATTAAGTCCAAAGTGATGGATTTCATTTCGGTGAGTTCGAAAATGCTTGTAACCGAAAATATTGACCAGAGATCACAAAGTAACAAAGCAAATTGTTTTTTACTATCGCTTGGGTAGATGCACGAAAAGAGCTGCTCTGAAGTTCCATTCTATTAAGTAACCGACAAATTCATATATCCTAATTCACAATTCTTGGATCATTAATAGCGAAATTATTTTAAGCTAGTAAATTCATACTATCGTAAGCTATACTTGGTAGTAGTTGAGATAAATTAAAATCATAATGATAATTAAACATATAAAATGTAAGTTTGGTAAAAGTTTACCTTTATTTTCGGGCCTATACTCGACTTCCCAAGTACCATAAGCTGTCCTTGGTAAATTCTATTGGCACCTAACTCTCCTGCATGATCGACTCTAATAATACGATCCACAAGAGCCCTAACTTTAGGAGAAACTGACCTAGCCATTTTTCGGGGTTGATAAAGCGCGTCGATAAACGTCCTAGTTATTTATGCAGTTCAAATGATTCAAACGATTGTGGACGGAATAGAAGAAGCTTTCGCTTAACGGGCTGCCGTGTCTAGTAGCAGTGGATCACCAATACCTCCAGGCAAGAACCTAGGTATATTAACGATAATAGGAAAAAAGAAATTGGTAAATCACACTAATGTGTTATCCGTAGTCTTTAAGAATAGGTCAAGTTTTCTCTTAAAGGACTCCTGGGAAGTAGCTTAAACCAGCTCAGTCGGCAGCGAATTCCAGTATTTGACAACTCTTACGAAGTAAAAGTTGTGTTTACAGTCTGTTCTGCTATGTTGGGTCTCCAGTTTCTGGGTGTTACCTCTTAGGTTAGGGTTGTGACTAAGCATAAGAATGTGTTTAAGGGGATGACCGGAAGTGTTAAGGATACTGTAAGTCATAAGAAGGTCACCTCTAAGACGCCTATACTCTAGCAGGTAAAGGTTAAGTGGTTGGAGGCGCTCTTCTTAAGGTTGGAATTTGAGTCTTCGAACTGATTTCGTGGCTCGACGTTGGATACGTTCTAGTGTCCTTATCCTTTTGGAGTGATGGGGGAAATATTATATTTCCGCGCTCTATATAGGGACGAATAAAACTGTTGAAGATTATGTGGAAATTTCTACCGTCAAACTGGCCAAAAATGCGCTTCAATGCTACCAATGCTAGGTTTGCCTGAAAGGCATTTTTCACAGATAGCGAACGACTTCAAGTCGTAATCCTTTTAGACTTGGGACACTTATTGAGAGGAGTTTTCTTAGTTGTAACTGTAGTCTGCGAAATGTCACAGATGGACTACTTTACACTTTGAAGTGTTGGAGGTAAGTCCGTTGTCGTCTGCCCAACTTTGAAGTCGAGTCAGATCCTCTTGAAGTGCCAGTATATCCTCTCGGTTGCGTATCTTTCTCTCTCCATAGTTCACATCACTAGCAAAAAGCAATAAGTCAGACGATAATCGTTGTGGGAGATCGTTTATGCAAATCAAGAAGAGAAGAGGTTCTAGTGTTGAGCCCTCGAGGATCCCACAAGGACATTCCATAGCTTGGGAGAAAGTGAAGTTCACCCTGACCATTTTAGATATGACGTGAGCCAGTCAATTGGAGGTGGTTTGATACCTAATCGTCTAATCTTATTGATAAGACATATATGGTTGACCCTATCAAAAGCTTTTGAGAAATCAAGCTAAATAACGTCAACCTTCCCCTTACGATCAAGGATGCTTGTCCAACTGTCCACTGCAGTCGGCAGGTAGGTTGTTCAACAGTGACCCTTCCTGAAACCATGCTTTTGGGGTGAGAACAACTTTAGAGATAATAAGTAGTTGTTTATACTATCGCATATCAGAGACTCCATAATTTTAGAAGGTATAGCAAGAAGGGCCACCGGTCGGTAGCTAGAGGGTTGGCTGCGTTGACCTCCTTTGAAAATTGGTGTGATGTGAGCCATCTTCCAAATTTCCAGTAGTTTGCTTCGACTTAGCGAGTGTGAAGTCATTACCCTAAGTGTTGTTGCGAGGATTGAAGCTCCTTCCCTCAGTATAGCAGAATGAACCATATCCGAACTGGGAGAAGTGTCCTTTCTTATGTGCTGCAGTTTACGCAACACCAGGTCAGCCCTCAGATTCACTCCGTAGATTCCTGTGCAGTTGCTAGTGAGGCTTTCATCACTGTAGTTGATGTGGGTCGGTTGAAATGTCTGAGGGTATTGCTCAGCCAAAAGATTAGCGGCATCCCCGTTGTTATTGGTCGGACCATTAGGACCTAGCAGTTGGTAAACTCCAGTTTTAGCTTGTCGAAGGGAAGCTGTATAACGGAATAAGTTTTCCGGGTTGGAGATAAATTTACCGATAAGCATGGTCTGGTACTGAAGCCCGTCTTCTCTTAGTGCGTTTGTGCATAAGTTCCTTATATGTTTGTATTGCCTGTAGGCGCCGTTGTTATCAGTTCGTTTGTATTCTGCCCAACAGTGCCTTTTCTGGCTTAGCAAACGAAGAGTGGGGTTCTTGATGATTGTGGATTGCTCGTAGATTTTGGGAACCGTTTCAGGAAATTAATGTATAGTGACACATAAGAGCGTGTACATTAAGGTATCCCGATGAGTATCAACTTCCAGTTGATGGTGAACATCCAAATCCACCTGTTGTAGATAGTTGTGTAAATCTAACACATTCAACCGTTTGAAATTCCAACGCCTGTTTGCTGGCAAAACTGAAGGTTAGAACGGCGCGATCGCTTTTCCCGAGGTAGCCAGAATTGAGAGGTCGTCTACTACGGATTCCTCATTTGTGAAAACCCAGTCTAAGGGCGACGGCGTCTGACTGTTTCTCCAACGAATTGCCGACTTTACATTTTCGAATAACCCCAGATCATCAATTAAGTTGAAGAGTCGAGCTTCAGTGGAGTTTTCATCTCCAATATACGTATGTGCCGCGAAATTGACTCTAGGAAGATTGGAGCCCCCTAGAATCAGGACATGAGAGAATCCGAGACGCGTAGAGCGAGTTAATTCTTCCAGCAAACGATTGTCGTATGCGATGTCAGCAGTGGGCCTCCTGTAGATGACTCCAACTAGACACCTCTAGGTGGTAGACAATCTTACTGAGAACCATACTGATTCATCAAGATTGAGGAACTCTTGGTTGTGAAGTTGGTGCACCTGCAGGCATGAATGCTATTCCACCACTCACTCCTGCTTGTCTGTCGTGGAGAAACAAAGACATTCCAGGTATTGCTAGCTCCCGATCCGTAAACTGAGAAGATATTCAAGTTTCAGATATTCCTATCAGATGAACGTTATTAGCGATGCTAAGTTCACGTAGATCATCCATTTTATTTGACAAACTCGCGGCGTTCATGTATAAGCAGTTTATGCTTTCAACTTGGAATGCATGAGCTTCTTCCTGTTTGTCTGTATGAGCCTTACGTGAGTGGGCAAGTAGCCTACCTATACAAGGTTTTCGGAGTTGGTACTCCCTGTCCTTTACACGTACTTTTTATTATCAAGACAGTCCACAAGTGGTATTGTCAGCTCCAGCTTGAGTTTGTGATTGATCCTAGTGTCATGTTGCCTATCCGAATGCATATGGATTCCAGTTAACCACCGCCGTCTGTTGGCACAAAATGCTTCCAGAGTTGAAGCCGCCATATGGGAGGATGGGGAGAATATCTTCATTAGCCGGGGTCTGGAATCGCAGTCCTTCTTGCCTAGTCTCGTCACATGTTGAGACAGTATGTTTTTGAGCTTTAAAGATTGTTTCATGAATTTCTATTCCCTAATATCAGAGTTTGTTTGACCAGGGTCCGTGTTTTCCGGTACACCTTGTACAATGATATTTGTTCCGCGGAAATACACCTCGCGAGATCCTTTGGGGGTGTTCCAGATGAGATTTTGCCCGGTATACGGTATGTCAGGCAGTATTCGTACATTCCCACCTGATTTCAGTAAGTGACTAGCTAGCAGGACGTCCTCTACGTCGGAAGAATTCTTGAGTGTTACACGAAGTAGCCTCGATTGATTTTGATCGTTAGGGTCATTCCCCTGAGTAAGCCATGTGACAGTCAATGGCTTTATTCTGGGGAGTTCAAGATTATTCTTCAATTCTCTCCAGAGCATCCTGTCGTTTTCTTCCTGCAAACTGAGGAGAAGGTCAGGGTTGTCTTTAAAGTTCATAATTATGAGAGAGTCACCACGAACCGTTATTGATTTCCCAGGTTTTTCAGTGCGTCCAGGTTCGACGGCTTGTTGTTTGGAGGTCTAAGCGCGTCTTCAATTCTGAGGCTCGTTGATTACCGGCTGCACATTCTTGGGGGTAAACTGTGCGGCAAAGTCACCAGTTGATTTCCGTACAATACTTAGGCGTTAACGCCTGGTCCTTTAAACCCTGTTAACGTGGGTTCAACCACCTACTGAGTTGTTAAAAACCACTGTCTCATTCAGGGACTCCGCGCTTGGAGACCCAAGTTTACCCAGAGAGCCAATAATCGTCGACATTAAAATAGCGCTGAGTTTCAGTATGTCATCACTAGTGCTTTCACCTGCACCATTGATATTATACCTGTCGATATCCCTCTTCTTATTAAAGCTGAGCGTTCCTGTTTTTCTGCCCGTTGTATGACTGTGATTTATCAAGTTTTCAGGCAAATTCTTCCTCAAACCTGTCAGTAGGCAATGATGTTACTCAGCAAAACTACATTATCCTGGTTGCACATAACACATACCCGCCCAAGACCCGACTTGTTGAGTCTACTGTAGTCAGTTGCTGTTACATCTGTGCGCGCTTCGTGGAGCCAACCTTTGCAGTTGTCGCACTGCATGCCAGATGTAACAGCAAAACGGCAACCGGGACTTTCGCATGAATTTTTTATGACTATTGTCATAAACTGTCTAATAATACAAGCAGTAAGCCTAGGACCGTTATAAGAAACACAGTACGCTAAAACAAGCAAAAATGGATAAAAACAGGTTACGATAAGCTAAAACTAGCCTTCACGTGAAAAACTGAAAAAAACCGATAGTAAGCTGAGGCAAAACCACAGTTAACTATTAAGTTGGGTGAAACTCAAAATAAGTAATCTACCGAACGTATCACTCAGAATAGATTGCTTAGATCAAAAATGGTACTTTGTTGCGTAAGAACATAGCAAACGTTTGAGAAATGCAAATCATGATAAGACTAAGCTTCCCGTTCGAAAAAAATGTACATCCAATTAATTTATCTCTTGGTAATAGAAAGCGAATGACAGTATAGTTAGAAATGATACTAAGTTCCCAGCAGGGTGCGATAAAATCAACTCCGCCTATAGCTCTTCTAGAGCTACCAACGGTCTCAAGCCCGCCAAAAGGAGAAGCGATAAGTGTGATGTCGGCAACCCCGCCCCATAGAAAACAACATTGCCAAAAAACGCTAACCAGGATAAACAAATTAAACCATTTAAACTCTGTCCTCCACCAGTTGAAGGAAGAATTATGACGCCTGAGGATGAAAGCCGAGAGTCTTAGGAAGTCACGAGGCCAATGCTCCTTCTAACAACCACAGCAACAATT